TTCTTCTATGTTCGAGAGTAGAAAGAATGAAAATTTTATGGGGTTTGGCTTTCTCAATTAGCTTTGTAGTAATTTCTGTTCACAATAAGTCATTGTTAAAAAAAAAGGAATTTAAATTATGGGAAATTTCCTTTTATTATACATAGTAGTTTTTTTTTATAGTTTTTTATGGAGATTTAGAATATAATTCGATCATAGCATTTAATAAATATTAGCTGATAATATAAATTCAGGATTTCGTATTGTTTATTTGTAATGGTTTGTAAATTGAAATAGAATTAAATTTGGGTTTGTTAAATTAATTATAAATATATTTTAATAGAGTAATTAATATTTAATTAAAATCTTCTGTAAAAAAGAAAAGAAAGATTTGAGAGAAAGAAAGAATTTAGTTATTATATTTTCAGTATTGTCTTATTTATTTTATTTAATTTTATTTGATTTTATTTGATTAATAAAATGAATTGAACCTTATTTTTTAAAGAAATAAACATTTAAAATTTGATAAATATTTATTTAAATTATTTTAAATAGTTGAAAATTTTTTAAAAATCTTGGATTTTGAAATCATCAATAATCAATTAAATACCTTTAATGCTTGAGAAATGGTATAAATACTTAATATGTATTGTTTAATGCTTAAAAGTACTTCAAACAAACTTTATTTACTTTTTATATCTTTATATCTCTAGTATTTTCAATTTATAATATTATATAATAAAATTAATTTAGTTATTAAAGGAAGTTCTTCACGTTTTTTATTAATTTTTATTTCAAACGTGAAAATTACAAAGAAAAATTTTTATTATTTACAAAAATTCAAATCTTGTAATTGATCAATTAATCTTGGAGGCTAGTGTTGATAATGACTCATATGTTGATATCATGAGAGCACAACTTACAGCGACTTTAATTGTTCGTAATGATCCACCTAAATGTAATTAAATACATACAATTTATGCAATATTATTTTAGTTAATAACTATTATTATAAAGTCACAAGAAAAAAAAAAAAAGAAATGCACCTTTGAATAAACCTCGATATCCTTCTTTTTGAAGTATTGTTTTCATAATTTTGATCATATTGGGTTTTTCAACTGCTTAAATAATAATAATAATAATAATAATAATTGAAATTTTAATAAATTTAATTTAGATATGTTAAAAAAAAGGTAAGACTTTTTTTTTTTTTTATTACCAGTAACCTGTCGAACAGTTTTTGCGACATCAAAAGGAGTAGTAACTGTGGCGGCGACCTATTATGATTATTATTATAATTATAATTATAATTATTATTTGCTTTAATTTAATTAATTTAATTATGATGGAATGTTTTATTTAAAATTTACCATTCCAGATGTAGCACCGCATATGAAAGCTATTTCAAAGTTATTCACAGTTCCTTCAAGATTATTTTTTCGTAAATAATTTCCTAAGTTTCTTTTCATAATTTCATAACCAGTCCAATAAATGGCTAAAAATAATTATTTGATTTTTCTCTTTTAATTAATATTAATATAATATAATTAATTCAATTCAATTCAAAATATTAAATAATCCCATTTAAAAAATAAATAAAATAAAATAAAATAAAATAAAATATACCTGAAAAGGGTACGTCACGTAAAAGTGTAGGTTCCAAACCACGCCATAATGATGATACCCCATTTAATTTAACCATTTTCTGGACACCATTCATTACTCCTTTTAAACCATTAGCACCTTCAGGTCCTTGCATTCTGGTTCGGAATAATTCTAATGGGGATACCGAAGTTACGGCGAGTGCTATAAAATTCGCAAAAATTAAAAAATAAAATCATAAATATATAAATACAAAAAAAAATTTCATTCAAATATATAAAACATATACTTCTCGCTATAGCTCCGGCTAATAAAGGAGAATATGTCTCTGAATATTTTCCTTTCCAATGTTTCCATAATGTATCTCTTAAATGATCATAACCTACAAAATATATTACTGTTACTGGAACAGACATTATACTAAATTTAAATAATTTAATTTAAATCAGTACATAATTATATATCAAATGATTCAACCCGAAAATAAATAATTTTTTTTTTTTTAAATCTAACTAACAGCGCTGGTGAAAGTCCTCTCCATAATGATGCGATTCCTTCGTTACGAACAATTTTAACGACGCCATCCTATATTATTATTATTATATAAAATTATTTATATATTATTAAACAAAGTTTTTTGTGTTTAATAAATTTCTAAATATTTGATAAAATTTTATTTACTAATGATCCATTAAGTTCATTAAGTTGATTTTTTGCAGCAAATTGATTGGGATTTATTGTTGCAGCACAACTAAACGCAGAAGCTTGGTTTGGTACGTGTGGATCAATTCGACAATAAAATTCTCGATGCATATTTTGTGGTGAAAAGAATATTCCATGACAACACGGTGTGACTGATGACGAATAACCTTTATAAAGACTTTGGGATTGAAGCCGAGTTTTAACGACATCAAATGGTGTTGCTGTAATTTAATATAAATTGAATTTTTATTATAAAAAAATAGATCTTTTGAGTATAGATCTTTGAATATAAAGTATAGATTCTTTTATAATAGAATATAAATCTTGGTAAAAAAAAAATATATATATATATATATATGAAATTTACTAAAGAGAGAAGTCAACAAAGCCCCAAAACAGGCGGCAACCATTTTTTTCATTGGTGTTATATGTTGTGATAATACATTTAGATTTTCCGTTGCTGCTTCAGAAACCTGTTTGGTTTTATGTAGATTTGTGCTTGGTGTTGATTGATATTCAAGACCATGAACATGAATCTGTTTTTCTTGATCCATGATCACACATTCTGACATAGTATCGTCCATTTTTTTTTAAAAAAAAAAAAAAAAATAATTTTTTTTTGATGATTATAATTGTTACTAATTCGGATTTTTTTTATAATAAAAATTTATAACCACGCGATAACAGATCTCGCAGAAGATCTTGTACAACGAATATTAACCTTAAATTAATTTTATTAATGTGTAAAATAAAATTATATATTTAGAATAAATCTGCATCTGCATGAAATAAATACAGTGCATAATTAAATTTACATTTACAATCTATATTGGCACATGAAATTAGATGTAATTAAAGATAATAATATTAGAAAATGTTCTGCACTATGCAACACAAAATAAATATTTATTTCTCTCCTAAAATAATCTCATCTATTAATATCAACTATTTGCAACTTCTACCATTTCATTAATCACAGCTTTGTCGAATTCTTCAGGGTTATCAATGTATAAATGATGACCCGAATGAGGAATTTGAATTACTTTTGTTGGTACATTCATCTTAACAGAGGCTTTTATGGCTTCTCGATAATCCATCCAATCTTCCTCTCCATCTTTTATTTAAAGAATAATAAATTATTGATTAGAACGATTAGAATACCTTTGACTTGAACAAAAAAAAAATATCAAGTACACACATATATATATATATATAATCAATAATATTTACATATAAAAGTTGTCGGCATTTTTATCCCTTCCAATCTATACATCAATGGCTTTCGAGCATAAGCTCCAGGTGCAAGAATTCTCGATAAAGCATATTCTCCACTACCGGGTGCTGCAGAAACGTGATAAAGATAATCGTGCAAATCAATTCGATCTTGTTCATCAAGATTAGCAAACCGACGAGATGTATATTGTGAAATTAACGATGGTCCAAATGGTCCAACCAATCTCATTAATAATTGTGGTGTAAAATTTGCGTCCCATAATTTTACTAACCATAAAGGTAATGTACGTCCATTTACATTATCTTTAATATTTTTGAGATCTTCGTATGGACTTGGAGGAATTCCAACAGGTGATACCATAATTAATCTTTCTACATGTTGA